TATGGAAAATGAGCTGGACACATTGGCTGAAGGGGGCTGGGCCAGAAACTCATTTGGGGAAATCTCACCACGGGAGGTCTGGAGACATTGGAAAAGACAGTGGGAGATTAAGCCCACAACAGCTCACCAAAAGTAATACCAGTTTTCCTACACCGGACACAATAAAGAGGCTGCAAATACTTTTAAAAGGTGTTGAGGTGACTGAACGGATTCCTAAGAATGCAACATACTAAGAAGCCAATAGGCATCACAAAGATGTCAGAGAAGATATATCAAAGTAGCGGAAAGAAACAAATCTGAAGTCTATACGAACTGACAAGATCCCAGCTGTTGTCTTTCCAGAGAGGGTTAGAGGGGGGAAAAAAATCTCAATTAAACCTGACCTTGTCTGGCTTAAAATGTGCCTGAAGTAAGAACTATACAGCAAACACCTCTATTAGTCTTAAATCAATACCAGTGTCCCAATGGAGCTCCCAAGATCTAAATGCAGCCTTGAAATCTCTACAAAAAAAAATTAAGCTCGGTTTCTACCGGCATGGAGACCCATTCTCTCTCATTCAAATGTGAAATGCCAAAGACTCTCCTGCCGCTGAGGAATTTGATAGTTGAACAGGGTCTGCAGCTTAAGGACTTGTTCACACCAAGCGCATTCCAGGAGCAGAGCAGTTAAAGACCGGAGCAAAACTGCGTCCAATGTATTCCAATGGTATTTTTAGCTCCAGTTCACATGGCAGTGTTCCGTTCCAGAGCAGGTAAAAAAACTGCAGCAGGCCCCATTTTACCTGCTCTGGAACGCATGCAAACGCATCAAAAACACGGCACAATAGGGAGTGATGCTTACTGTACGGTCGCATGTCTCCCGTCGAACAGGCTTGAAAACCCACCGAGAATCGTTAGTGGCCTGCTCGTTCGACAACTGCCGAACGGGGCGGTGTGCGCACGCGCACACTGCCCGTTTGCAGTCATCTGAAAACCCGCCCTCACTGCGGTCATCGCAAGTACGATCTGCCTGTCCAAGATGGGCAGATCGTACGAGCTTTTAATTAGCTTACAACCATCGCAAGACAAGAGTCTTGCGATGTTTGTAAGGTGTATGGGCACCTTGAGATTTACACAGCCCTGCTAGACTATACAGCAAGCTTGGTGACCTGACTTTTCACAGCTGCAGTTAAGCAATAAAATGTAGGTCACTCCCCCTGCTACAACCTGTGATTGGACAGTGAAGAATCATTAGTCGTTCACCCCTCTGCTCACGCTGCTCTCTCTTCCTGTCGTTGTCATCTCATGTGCATGCAGCATTGCCTGACTGATACAATGTCAAATTCAGGTGACAGAAGCTGCATTTAAAATATTTTTTAAGTGGTTTTTTTTTTTTGCTCTACCTGGAGGAGTCCAGCTTGACACATCATTTTACCAAAGTGCACAACGATTGTGAATTTTAAAAGAACTGCTAGCAAAGCAATATTCTTCTGCATGCCAAACCCCATGACTGACAACTTTTGTACAGAGCACATGCTGGAAAGGATGCAACACCTCCAGTAACAGAATGGTGTAAAAGTGAAAAGCTCCCCAGTAAATACACACATTTAAATGCAACATAAGAACTTTACTGTAACAAGTTAACGTACCCCTTAGAGTAATTATTGGTTCTGTACAATTATGCAATGTGTATATATTTTTTAAATACAATTTAACAATGCAATTCTTAACAAGACATTTAGGAAGAAGAAAAAAAAATTGGATAACATGGAGGAAACAGGTTTAGAAAAAGAAGGCACAACAAATGAGTAACAACAATAATTTGAACTAAGCCATGCTATTGATTCATAATTAGATGCAAGTGCAGTAACAACAACAGGACAAAGCATTGAACACAAAAAAGAAATATGTAGTGTGTGTAACTGGTGATGTCACCATACTTGCCTCCTACTCAGATGTGTACTGGTAGATGTAGAATTCTGCAGCACATGAAAACATCTTAGAACTAAACAATACCATTGCACCCATTTCTTTATTAGGGAGATTATTAGGCTTATGCTTAAATCAGCATGGCAGAGTGCAACTTCAGAAATTGCAGTAGCTCATAGCAACCAAGCAGAATCGTTTCCTTCAGTAATCTGTTGTCAGTAAACAGAAATTCAGCTGGTTGTTATGTATTACAGTGCTCAGCAAATATTCATTGCTTTGTGTACTATTTTTCCCAAAGGAGCACAAGCGTGTCAAAGCATTCAGATAAAAAAATGTCAAATTTAGTCTTGAGTTCAGCTCAAAGATAAAGATATAAGACAAATATATAGTAAAGCTGTACAATTCTTTCATGGACTAAGGTGAAACTAAAAATCTATGGGGCACCTAAAAGATACCCAACCCCAGTAGCTAGTAAAAGAACATTATTTAATCATCCATACCTCCAAATCACTTATATTTTAGAGTCACAGTGCAGTCACACATAGCTACCAGTGGAGGGAAGCAATGCATTAGTTAAATCCCTGACTACACTACCTCACTGCATACATTTAAGTAGCAGATACAGAAATAATCAGTATGAAGGTACGAATAATTCTTAGGGCTCATTCACTCAGTAATTCCTGGCCATATACCATCCAAAACACTATTTCTGGCATGAGTACGGCTAGGTGTTTAAATCCAGTAGAGAACAGGAAGCCTGTACAAATCAGTGGTATACAATCCACGGCTGTTGGCATGCAATTGCTCAAGGACAGGTGAACGGCTCTGTATGCAAACTGTTTGTGTCCAGAGCCACTCATCAGTCCCTAACTGCAGGAATTCGCTCCATGTGTGAATACATGCAGACAGCCGCAGAGCCTCTCATTGATATGTACAGGCTGAGCAGCCACAGCTAAATTTAAAACACCTGGCCGTACATGTCCCAAAAATATGCTGTTCTTGCCAGGAATGGACAAAAGAATGAGCCCTTAACGTTATTTAACTTAAAGCCCACTTCCACAATTTATTATGTGAGGTATCTCTGCTGCTTATATGGGTACATGGAAACATTTTCGCAGCAGTGTCTTAAAATAGTGTAGGAGAGAGATCAGAGCAGCTCTGAACCACTTTGTGGGAGAGGGAAGCAGCACATCAGGTAAACAAACTGTAAACTTCACTCAAAATTAAATGTGAAAATGCTAAACCTAAAAGGGCATTCATTGAGTTCAGAGATTTTGTTAAGACAATCCCTAAAGTGACATCCACACAAACCTAGCACTCATTCACCCATTTACGGACCTAGAGAATCACTGCATTTTACGATTGTGCTGCTGCAGCTAAAGTCAGCAGCAGATTAGTTGAATAAGTAAAATCAGGGAGTTACAGCTCTGAATTCTGGTTAAAACTAGGAGCCGTTTGAAGAGGAGACACCTCTGTGTTAACACACCTGAGACTTACAAATAGATGGGATTCTTATTTCTAAAGAATGTCCAGTGTTGGACAGCAGCATAACGCTGTAGCAGCTTCACAGGAACGGAGACAACATCAGTTAAAAGTCGCTCGTTTTGGATGCCGTTCCCGATAGGCTGCTTCCACGACAATGTTATGTGCATCATAAGACTGAGAAACATAGGAGTGCTCCCAGTGCAATATTTGGGGGAAAGGTGGACGTTACCCAATTAAAAATACTGATTTTACCAAATATTTTTGACGCAAAAGTACATATAAAGCCAACAGTTTTTTTGTTAGTTGTGGATAGAGTAGGCAACGACCCCTTAAGGTCCCTGTCAAGTGTTTGTTTTTTTTCCCCATCTCCCTTCACTTCCTATCTGAGAGACACAGCAAGAATTAAGAGGAGAACTCTCCGGAGAGAGAAAAGGAGGTCCCCTTTTAGACAGCTGTACCTATAGGAAGATTAACCTTCACTTCTTGTTTAGGTAACATCTAAAATATGTTAGATTTCCTAACACTTTTTCTACTATGAGAATGGTCAGTGGGGATGAACCTCCCGAGCAGAGACTCAGACAGAAATAAAAAAAACCTGACAGGGATTCTAACATTTTAATATTCTTTCAAAAACAAACTTTTGGTTTTGCTTACACTTTCAGCTACAAAAAGGAGACTTTTACTCACTACGGAGTAGAGATGAGGCTGAGCTTGATGCAAACCCAGTTTGCCCGAGCCCACTTAAAAAACTCTTAACGCCACCCCATCCCAAATCAGTGGTGGCAGTTATAGTGGGGGGGGCGTTCCCCACCCTCTGTGAGACCTATAGCTCTGGGAGGTGGAAAGTGCCTCCCCACAACTGACTGGGTCAAGAGTGGGTAGCAGTCAAAATTTTGAGCAGGCTTGGAAGTACTCAGCGAACTGGGTTCATACCAAGCCCAGCCTCATCAGTTCTACTGAGTGAGTAGACCTCACCTTTCATAGATCACACCGATATCAATGTGTTGCTAAGTAAAGTGATGCCAGCAAAAAAGTTAAATATAATAAAATTGCCCATGTATTTTAGTGTTGAAGTTAATAGACACAAAAGGAAATATATGCTATATACACACACACCAAACTAAGCAGAGCAATACACTGAACTCAGGTGCCCTTTGTATACCATACAGACACAGAATTTCTATCCAGCAGGAAAAAATATATATATCTATAATTTTTTTTTCTGGTTTAATTCCTTTTAATCTCCAATGTAATGGGACATGAATGCAGAAAAAAAAAATATGCCACATCTGCCTCACAGAGAATCTGCCATTACAGATATACATTGCAAAATAAACGAGTTAGCGTTTACACAGAAGAGACAATCCCAAAATACCTCAAATCTTATACCTGATTTAGATTAGCAATCTAAGGAAACCATTTTGCAAAAAAGTTAAACAGACAATTTTTAAAATGATTAAAATAACATGTACAAAAAACATTATATCTGAAACCCATTAAAACCACAGGAAATAAAGGTCTGTAGAATACATCTCTCCCAGAAGGGACAGGATGTGTGATGAGCTCCTGATGTTGATGCATAAAACACACATTTTTGTCCCAGACAGTTTTTTTTTTTTTTTTTTTATTCCGTTTATCGAATTGAGATCGGTTAACGGTGATGCCAAAATGCTGCTGTACATAAAATGACATGGCAGCTAAACAACTTTCTGGCCAGGAAGAAAACGAAAAAAAAAAGTGATAGCACTTCATGCTTTAAATTACAAGATGAACTTTCCTAAAAAGAACCCAATGAAAATTGCTGCAATAACAACAACGAGGGATGGGATGGGGCTTCCCTGCTCTTTCACAATTCCTCTGCTCTTCCTTCTGTCTTCCTAGAAAACACAAAAGTAGTATATTATGAATGTCTAGCAATGGGAAGATTGTCATTCTCATACTCGGTCTTACAACTTTTTTCAGAAATATATTTTTATTGGAGGTTTTTACAAAAACAAAATATATGAACACACCAACAGAACCAAAAAAGCGTACATAAATCGCAACAACCGCGGTCTTACAAAGCATATGGTATGTCCGAGTCGTATAACATAGAAGGCACTCATGGTGTATGCACCTTGTGGAATCCCTGAGCTAGGCGCAGTTTGGAGTGCTTTACCTTGCAGAGCTTGGGCCGCCATCCTGCTATCGGAGGCGGGCCAATTCTAAGGAACAGGCACCCGGTAGGCATATAAACAGAGCGACCAAGGCATTGCACAACTAACATGCACCACAGACAAACAAGAGAAGAAGATGAGAGTAAGACAGAAGGGGTATGGGGGAAACGGAAGGAAACAGGGGGGGGGAAGGGTTGGGGAGATCAGAGCATCCATATACCGTTTTAGCAAATAGGTGGTGTGATAGGGGGGGGTGAGTAAGGGGTAGGCGAGGGGGTAATCCCACCTCACGACCCGTGAAGTTGCCCCTAGTTTGGTTGGAGTGTTAGAGGGGTCTCTGAAGACTCAATGCAACGATCGGAACTCCTCCGTATCTAAGAACAAGATCCATGGCGTCCACCTGGTCAGAAAGGTATCAGATCGGTCAGCCCTTTCTGCAATGAGCTCCTCAGATCTCATCAGGCGGCACATCTCCGCTGTCCATTCCGCAACCGATGGGATGACAGTGGAATTCCAATGTCGAGGTATTAAAGCTCTGGCAGCAATAATAAAGAATCTAAGCAGGGACTTTTTCACCTTAGAGATAGAGCCCGGAAAGACTGATAACAGAGCCATCTCCGGTGTAATGTGCAGGTCAATGGAGGTAACTCTGGAGTAGACATGTTAGATAACTCGCCAAAAGGGCAGAAGCAGAGGGCAACTCCACCACACATGGGTTAACGTGCCAGGTCCAACCAGGCATCTCCAGCATGTGTCCGGGTACGCAGAGGAGATCTGGTGCATTCTAACCGGGGACCGATACCATCGGGTCAGCAGTTTAAAGTTCCGTTCTTGTGCATACGTTGACATACAGAGTTTGTGCGTAAAGCACAGACATTTGCGACGATCATCCTCCGAGAGGGTGATCTCCAACTCCTGTTCCCAGGCAGAGAAGAAGTACAGGGATTCCCCGCTATGCGCGGTGATCAAAGCTTGGTAGAGCAGCGAGACAGGGCGTTGAATTGGTAGACCAGCGACGCATAGGTCCTCAAAAAAAGTGAGAGGCCTATAGAGAGAGTTCCCGATACAGACAAAGCGTCCACAAGATGTCGAAGTTGAAAATAGGCCAGCCAGGAGGCTCGTGGGAGAGGGCTGGGGCCAGACAGTGACGCCAGTGGCTGCAGGGCAGATCCCGACAGGCACTGGAATACATAACAAGGTTCAGAGATCTTCCAGCACAAGGTGGGAACCCCACACCCTCCCGGGAAACCCGGGTTGGCAAGGATCGGGGTCATGGGGCCCTGGAATGTGGATAGATTATATCTGGACCTCGTGGTGTTCCATGACCGTAACACTATGGGTGGGAAAAAGGGGAGTTCCACACCTCGCGGTCGAAGAGTAGTTGGTAACCATGGAAGTGTGAATAATGGTACCGGGGAGAGGTCGCGTTCCAGGGTGACCCACAACGCGGGGTCGCTAGAGTCGAACCAAGCCGCCAAGTGAGATAAATGGGTGGCCCGGTAATAAGACTCCAAGTCTGGAAGAGCGGCGCCCCCGTGGTCCTTCTTCTTTATCAAAATAGTGTATCGCAGTCTGGGTTTCTTATTCCTCCAGATGTAGCGCAGGACCGCCGAGCGGATGCGTTTAACTCGGTCTTACAACTTTACTTACTAGAGACACATTCTCTCTCATTAGCACTTTGTAAATACAGTTAGGATGCAGTCATCATTTGCTCACAAGTCAAGGTGCCAATATATTTTTGTTATGGTCATTCTTAAAAGGGAGAAGTTTTGTGCCGTACAGTGCCTTGGGAAGGTATTTACCCCCTTGGTGTTTTACCTGTTGTATTGCATTACAACCTGGAATTAAATGGATTTTTGGGAGGTTTGTACCATGTAACTGTTTGAGAATCTTCTACGACAGAAACCGGAGGGAGGATTGTGTTTCCTGTAGATGGAAAAAACAATCAAAGACATGTTTAAAAACGCCTCTCACCCCACCTCCACCAGTGCATGAGGGGAAAAAATAAATCCCTAACAAGGGTGGGAAGTAGGCTTGCTGTCCTGGGAGATTCTCAGAAACACTTAACAGTAAGTAACTGGGGATTTCCAAAATCATCTACCAGGACAGCAACCTGAGAAGATAAGCAAGAAAAATAAACAAGCCTACCTTAGGGTGGGACCACTGCTTGAAGGACTTTGCCAAAAGCCAAATCCTACTGAGATAGGACCTCCACTCTAATGCTTCACAAAGGTGTCCCGATTCGACCAAAAGGCAACCCCTGCAGATCTTTTCCACCAAAATGCCAGCACTTTCTGCCCAGGAAGTTGCCAAAAGACCTATTAGAATGAACTTTCAAAAAGGAGCCGGGATACTCACACCCTTCTTCCTATATACAAAGGATAAGGTCTGCCTGATCCACCTGAGGGCCTTCACAAAAAGATGGCAAAATAATGTCCTGGGACCTATGAAAAGAGGTGACCACCTTAGGCAGATATAAGGGATCCGGCCTGAGAACAATCCTGTCAGGAACAAAATGTAAAATAGGGCTCTTTGATAAATAAGGAAGATCCCCCACTCTTCTATCCAAAGTCACAGCTAAGAAAAAAGCCATCTTCAAAAGGACAACCATTTAATGGTAAAATCTTCAATGGGCTCAAAAGGATCCTTATTAATACCTCTAAGGACCAAAGAAACATCCCAAGGAGGAAAAATCATTCCCAACAAAAGGAGTAGCACGTTCAGTAACCAGAAAAAAAACAACATCTGATTAGCGGATCACCAGGTAATTTAATGTCCAGAAAGGGCGGAAATCTGAACCTTTAAAAAAAAGGTGCAAAGTAACAATTTCTTCTCCACGCCTTCCTGAAGGAAATCCAAAATGACTGGCACTGACTGAATGCCGTCAATTGAATAAAACTCGGATTGTGGTGCAAAACCGGACACCGAGACAGTAGTTATGATCTGAGGGACAGAGACCAGGGAACTGATCATCTTTGCAGTTCCAGAAACCACATGCTCCTGGTCCCCTAGAGAGCAATCAAAATGAGTCTGCAATCTGATAGACAACCTCTGGATCACTCGAGGAAAAAAAGAAAAAAAAGGAGGAAGAGCATAGCCTAGGGAAAAATCCAAAATCTGAAACAGGGCATCCACTCCCTTGGAATCCATTTCTTTCCAAAGAGAAAAGAAAAAAGGGCCCACTTTCCTGTTCTTCCTTGTCGCAAAAAGGTCCACCTCCGGTAACCACCAGCAATCGACAATCTGAGAGAACACTTCTGGATGAAGCTCCCATTCTCCATGGCAAATGGTTGCTCGACTTAAATAATCTGCCACCACATTGAAGGTTCCTCTTATGTGAACCAGAAAGATTGAGAAAAGATTCTCCTCCACCCAAAGAAGAATCTGAATGGCTACCTGTAGAAGACTGGGAGACCCGGTACTTCCCTGACGATTCAATTAGGCAACTGTCATAGCATTGTCTGAAAAGACCCTTGCCCTTTCAAAATGTCCTGGAAAGCGAACAGGGCCTCTCTTACTGCAGACAACTCTCCTAAATTGGAGGAGGCGTTCATCAGATCTGGGGACCAGGACCCCTAAGCTTGAAGCCCCTGATAGTGAGCTCCCCACCCCCAGGAACTCGCATCTGTGATGACCTTCACTTGTTACCACAGATCGGTAACCTCAATGTGCCAGCCAAATCCATGAGGAAGCTAAACAGACTAAAGACTAAACAGGGCAACAGCCGGGTGGGGGGGGAATGTGTGGGAGTCGAGCCTTAGCAACAAACAGGGGGAAGAAAGCCTGCTTTGGGAATTGGGGGAACCTCTGCGATCCAAACCCGCAAGGCTGCAGGCAATCACAGTACCCAAAGCAGAGCCGCACAGAGGGGGACCGCTGACCACAAGGCCATCTGGTCAGAAGCCAAGTAAAGCATGGTGGTGGCAACATCATGCTGTGTGAATGCTTTTTATCAGCAGAGACTGGAAAACTGGGCAGAATTGAAGAAAACCTGTTTCAGTCTGCTACGGAGTCGAGACCGACGGTTCACCTATCAGGAGGACAATGACCTTAAAACATACTATTAAAGCCTCACTGGAGTGGTTTACCCCTTTTGCTACTGCCACTGAATGCCATACAGCAGCGGTAGGGTAGCCCTGCAAGCAAACTCCAGGCTGCTATAGCAGCCAGGAGGGCTATGTAAGGCCAACTGAGGGCTTTGCACTGGAAGTAATTTAGGCAGTTGTAAAGCCCCTGATCACTTCCACAGTTCCTCAGGTGCCAACCACTTCCCTGCCGGATCACACTATGCCATGTATCCCGGGCTACACTGCCCCTTCTTACGGGCCCAGGACTGGCATGGAGGATATAGGCTGCAAGAAGGGAGAGAGACCAGTGAATATGCATTTGCCGACATCCCCTCCATTGAACGAACCCGGAAGCAACAAGAATTGTGTCACTTCCAGGTGCCGAGCCGTTATTTCCCAGGCACTGTGGCCGGGGATGAAGCTGAACCAGCATGATCTGTGCTGGATCAGCTTCACTGGAGTGCAAAGGTGACATCAGAGGGTCTAATAGACCCCCAATATCTCCTTAAAGAGAACCTGTTACCACTAATATGCTATTACATAGGGGGCTTGTGAGCACCTATGTAAAAGCTATAAAAATAGTTTATAAAAAAAAAAAAAAAAACCTAAAAACTTAAAGTTAAAAAAGAATTTAGAAAAATTAAGTCTCCTGCCTACATGCACATGCATGTTGGGTGCGCCCAAGTACAAAACGACATTGTGTTCGTGTGTACTTGTGGGCAGGGAGCTTTTAAACATTTTCTTTCTTTTTATTAGACGTCATTTCACTTTTTTTTACTTAAACTAATTGGTGCAAAACAAATGAAAAGGACAGCACCTTCTCCTCGTGAAGTAGATCAAATTTATTTAATAAAAGATTAAAACTACTCACAAACCGAGTTGATCATATACGCATGTATGTACTGGTATCCCGCATCCAAACATCAGAAAAGCAAAACTGGAGTAGACAAAAAACTGGAGCAGCTGTGACAACCAATCAGCTTCTCCATTCAGTTTGTTTAGTTAACATTTGAAAATGAAAAAGAGAAGCTGATTGGTTGCCATGCACAGCTGCTCCAGTTTTGATAAATTCCCCTCATAGTTTTTACTGAGTTACTCCGATGAAGGGGGTACCTCCCAGAAACGCATCACTTATGTTATAGTAACCAGCAGGACCGGTCTATGGTATACATCTGCTGCCAGTATATTGGTACTTCGTTGTGACACTTGATGTTTGGATGCGGGATACCAGTACGTACATGCATTTATGATTTACTCAAGTTTGCGAGTAGTTTTAATTTTTATTATTTAGTCCATACATTTGATATTACTTCACAAGGAGAAGCTGCTGTCCTTGATTTGTTTTGCATATATTTGAAGATTTCACTGTCGGATGTGGTCTGCTGCCTCCCTCCAAAGACGATCCTTTAGTTTGAAAGCGAGAATACACTGCCAGTGCCGACTGCCTGTCCGAAGACATACAGACTTTTTTTGTGTGTGTTTTGTACCTAGCGTCCTACTCCTGCAAGTGGCACTATAACCCAGTGTTCATGATCTACAGATCTTCACTGCGCCCTTCAGTGAATGGAAGAGTAATAGTATTTTATGGGGAAAAGAGAAAACAAAAACCCTGTGGCATTTGTATGTACTATATGGTGCTTTAGCAAACTAAATGTAATCAAGTCAAAGATTTGATCTACTTCAAGGGCTGAATAGTATTAAGAGTTGAGTCTTTATTTTAGGGCTTATGTTAAAGGTTCAGGAGGGGATGGGATGCTTAAGGTTGAGGGGTACTTAAATTATGAACAGTTTGGGGAGCCATCAGATTTACTCCTGCACCAAAAGTACTGTCATTTATTGTCTATATTTGTATCTTACTGCTATTAGATACACATATAGACAATATTTCTCACTTTTAAAGCACTGCAGAAAATGATGGCATGATGTCCAGTATAATAATCTTGACCCTTTGGAAGTTTCTCATTCTGTTCTGTTTCCATGCTAAAAGAAAAAAGAAAAATGGGCAACAATGGTTTATGCAGCCTCTGTTTTTTTTTGTGTGTATCAGCCAACCTAATTTCCGCATGAACACTATACAAAAGCAAGACAAAAATCGGTAGGTCATTTTCTTACTTTCAACAGCTGATTTTCATCTGACATTTTTATAATCTCAGACTGGAGTTTCTTGCATTCTTCCACAAGTTTCCTAGTTTCAGTATCATCCATTGAAGAGCTACCTTTTGATGGCAGACAAGCAAACAGTTTTGTGGCTTCATGTGTCTGAAAAAAGAAACAGAGGTAGTGGCAATTTAGACAAAGTTCTCAAACTCTAGGCAAAGGAAAGTGGACCTTCTGTCTACAGCAACTACAAATCACTTTTCCAAAGCAGTATAGAGAATGAAACCTGATTAAATTCTCTTTGCTGTGGGCGAATGTCTCATATTGTCTCATATTATATCAATTGTCTTAAATTCATAGCATGAAATGTAGTACAAATAGTTTTTGTGGTAGATCTCGTCATTTGAAAAGTAGATCTTAAAAACACAAAAAATTGTGGGCACCCCTGTTTAAGCAATAGAAACTGGGTATAGAGTCAGAAGTATAATTCAACCCCAAAGACATAACTAGATGGGCAAGAAATATTTTTTAATTTGTATATATGTTTTTTTAAATGGGAACACAAATTTGATTGCAAAAAGTATGAATGGGGTGCCTGGATTACGAGACTGCTTGAAAAGATACACACATGCGTCAATCTTATCTGCCAAAAGATTTGCATATCTGATCAGACAGCCCTGTGATCCAGACATCCTTGCCAGACAGCAAAATAAGGCTGCGACCTAACTTTTGTGCAACAGTTAAATTAAGTTTGGTCAGCAACCAACCTCCCAGCTTGCTGACTGCAAAATAAAGTAACAACCATGTCATTCAATGTTAAATTGACAGCAGAGCCTAGATTAAGGGGCCACCCCTCCCTCTTCCAGTATGAGTCCTATGGTGAAGGAAATTACAATGTTCTAGTATATAAAAAGGCAGATTCCGCTACCTAAAATAGCTTGTATATAAAAACTAGATGTTTATAAAACATATTATTTATAAATATATGATTAAAGGTGATTGCTATGCATCTGCCTGGAGGTTCACTTTAAAGAGACACTGTTATAAATCCACATTCCCCTTATATACATATCATAAAACAGGCCACTAGTATAGCTCATGGTCTATACTTGTATTAAAGCCCTGTCTTATCAGGTAGAGCTCGCTCTTCCCCCTGTGACACCTTCTATAGTTTAAGAGGCTGCGAGAGTGAGAACCTGCAGCCCTCCTATTCCCATGGCTAAGACATCCACATCCTTCTTCTGACAGCAGGGTAAGAGTTGCACTCATCGCTAGGACAGTGCTGACCCTGCTGTCAGGAGCACGACTGCACTTGCGCAGTAGTAGTGGGAAAGCACAGGTGTGGGAAGATTTTGCATAACCAGAGTTAGAAAAGCTTTCTGTAGCTTAGGTTTTCTAACTATGTCTGTGCAGAACCTCTTCACACCTGTCAACCCCTGGGATTGTGTAATTGCACGCAAGCTTCCAACAGCAGGGTAAACAATGTAATTGCAATAACAGAGTCTTCCCCTAAGGTTGGGAGAAGGATGCGGACAACACTACGGGCTCTCAGTTTCATAGCCCCTGACACTACAGAAAGTGTGGCAGGTGGATGTAGAGATCCCAATATCTAAGTGATAAAAAAATAAAGACAAGACAAAGCTTCAATACAGGTATAAAAGGCGAGATATACCAGTGGACAGTTTTATGATGTATAAGGGAAAGTGCAAGGTCATGAGGGTGTAAGTTTACAAAAAATGAAAAAAAAAGGCCTCAGTCATGAAGGGGTTAAAAAAAATGCTAGTTGCTATTATTTACGTTGCACAATATTTTCACAAATGGCTATTTCTAGGACAAAATGCACTAAAATGGATCAATGCACAAAAACAAAATATAATACACTTTTAAAAATAAAAAAAAGATGGGGCTGTATTGGGTTTCCAGCGCTGGTGCCGGTCTCTGATCCACCGCAGACTCCTCAGGTTCCCCGGTGGTGTGTCCCTGATGTGCTCGCTCCCAGCTTCTGTGATGCTCTTCTCCTCTCCCCTCTGATGCTCTGGACTGTGCATGCGCCTGCCAACATTTCCCCCTCACAGCATTCGTGAGCCCTGACTTCTGCAGTGGGAGCAAGCGGCCCTGACACAGGTACGTTTGTTGGAATTTGCCAACATTTTTTTTATGTTGGGGCAAATATTTACTGCTTACTAGCAGTAGATTAAAAAAAAAGTATTTAATTCTATTCTACTTCATAAATTAAATATGCCCCTGAAATGGCTAAATCATTTACCATTCAATAATTTAGGAGTTAAAAGTGAATGATGGCACTAGAATTATTGCTCTCACTCCAACATTCGCAGTGATATGCAACATGTGTGGCACAACTGTCATTGGGGTTTTTTTATATGTCACTTTTATTTTTTAAACTTTTTAGCTTAACGATGCTACCACATAGGGAACAGCACCCTTTCAGCTGCATACAAGTGATCATTTGTATATGAAAGCTGGGTGCAAGATCATGGCTGCAGAAGCTGTTAATACAGGTTGATCGTGCCCAGTTCTTACCTAGCAAGAACACATCCCCCCACCTCCACCCCAGTATATGTTATAGAGAGGAGAAATGGAGGTGTTCTGCAGTTCAGAATGAAGCAGGGCTGACAACACTGCTTGGTATTTCAGCGGAACAGATCACTGTGTTGACAGCTCAAAAAGAAATTAAGAGCAACATGGATTTCTGGCAGGTCAACAGGTTTTTTTGTGTGTGTTTTGAACTTCAAAGCTATACTGCATATGCTTTATTCTGCACCGACATAAAAATCTTTGGGAGTTCACAAGACACTTGCTGTTCTATTAATCCAACTGAAAAGCAATGTAGTCTCTTATTTCCAAACAAAATCCCCAGAAGAGCTGATAACAAGGAACAGGCTGCAATCAGAAGTGGAATATGAACGGTATGGAAACATTTAGAAGTATATTGTGTATTAATAGCTCATTTGTGGAATGTATTTTCGGTGCCGAGTGTCTCTTATAAGACCACCAACAAATAATGTTTGTGAAGAGCAGAATGTCTTGGATGGCACAGACTTGTGCATCTCGTGTTCTGTTCATGCAACTACAGTCAAAAAGAATAGTCGGAAGCATTAGAAAAAAAAACACATCCTCACCATGGAATATTTATGATGGTATGACATTCTAAAATTAACAAAATGCTAACTTACCGGCTTTTCATGTTCATGTGGCATGTCAAACACACACTTTAACTTAGAATCCATAAGATCATCAGGTTTTGCTTCCTTCCACTACAAATCACAAAATGGACAGGTTAGGCACTGCAACATTACAAAACAATTAGCAGTTATTACAGCATTTCAAATCAACACAAAAGTCTGAATGGGGTGAACTGCAAGTTAGCTTAGAAATCATTTTTTTGTATTTAGAGTGCATCTAAACCCAAAAATAGAAAAGGAATACATTTTAGCTTCGATACAATGGCTACATTAGGTTTTCATTTTTTTTAAGCTTCTTTCCTTTAACTTGGTATTCCTGCAAATAACACACCTCCTGTCCCTGGATAGCTACACTCACTCCTCCAATGTATCTATGGAGGTAGCCATCACACAGACTGCACTAGGAACAAGCCTGTCTTTGTTCATCTCCATTACATGGAGGGTCAGGGGTTTAGTAGTTTACACGTGAAAAATAAACATTTCAGGCAAGATCAACAGACACTTTCTACACTTGCTAAACGCCTGAGAAACTAAACTAATGCAGCCATCACATCTGTGGGCTGGTAGGCTGTAATATATTACATTTTTGTTCTTGAGTTTTGATGTGCTTTAATTCATATGCGGCATTGTCAAAAACTACAAACTTGCCATCTTTAACCACTCGTGCACTAGCCTGTATAATCCCCTTCATTACCAGGCCATTTTTCAGTCCTGTGATAGTTTGACACACACAACACGGTAACCAAATAAGTTTTATACCATTTCTTTGAGACAGTGCTTACTTTTGGTGGCATTTAATAACCACCTGGTTTCATTACTATATAAAAGGAAGATATATATATATACACACACACATACCAGAACACTACGAAAACCCCTGAAGTGCCGCCTTTTTGCAAAGTAGATACTCGAAGGTCATCTCATTTACTGCCACAATTTTTGGGAAATGAAGAAACAAGCGGTATTGCGTTAAGTTTTATCATGAAGATTTTGTGCAGGTTCACTAGATATAGTGCATTATTAATGTATATATCGGGACGTACCAATATACCAGCCGAAAATTGCACTTTTGGCTGAAAAAGCGGTGCATCCGTGATTTTTCCTCCCCGCTGGGCACTGCTCTGTGAGAGAGGAGAGAAACTGTCACAGGAGGCCGAGCGGTACAGGAGGAGAGCGCTGTGAGCGGCCAGCCTCCTTCCTCCCACACCGTTCAGCCTCCTGTTACAGATCAGGAGAGAGGCGGTGTGGGTGGAGACAGCCATTGCTGTCACAGGAGGCTGTGATCTCTCCTCCCGCACCGCCCTGCCCCCTGTGTCAGCCAATCCAGGATGGAGAACTGTACAAACACTCAGTGATCACTGAGTGTTTGTAAATAATTGAGGACAGAGTATGGTTACTACATCCTCAATTATGAATGAATGGGAAGTGATCTACTTCATCTCCTGTTCATTCATGATTGTGGTTATAGTAAGAGGATTCCTGTTCATTGATAACAGGGGTTGCAGAAAAAGAGATTGAGGACTGTGCGTCCTCAATCTCTTTTTCTATTTTAAAAAGGGAAATATCAGGGATCTGTTTAGACCCCTAATATTTCCCCGAAGCCCCTAAAAAGTAAAAAATACAAACATTTCATAAAAATAAATAAAATATTTAAAAAAAAAATTTACATTAATTTAAAAAAAAGAAAGTTAGAAGAAAAAAAACATTCGGTTTCGATCTGACATTTTTTTCAATTTTTTTTAACACTTCTCATTTTGGTGCACCTCTACTTAATGTACAGGTCACATACAATGGGACTCATGCAGATTGGGTGGTTAACAAGGATAAGGAAAGTGAATAAATGAATATACAGGCCAGAGACAGGATGGAGATAAAAATGTCCTGCTCAGAGGAGAGGGAGTGAAAATCCTACAACTTAAGCATAAATATTAATCGAACTTAATAATCGGCTAACTAATCGATTTTGAAAATAATCGTTAGCTGCAGCTCTAATAATTACCCCCCACCTTCAATCCGCTACTGATGATTGGATCTATGCATTTGCCTTGTTAACTGCACGGCCTTTAAATTGCACTCCAGAAATACAGGACCACCTCTTTGCCATTTTTTCCCCAATATGGGAGTAAGTTTTGTTTATTTCTGTAAAAATAGCAACTAAACCATAAGACCTCACTCACATGAGGTGCTGCTCTGTAAAACATGAAAGGCCGGTTGATGCATTCAGAGTTGCGTGAAGAAGCACGCGGCAACTCCATTAACTCTATGTAGATGCAAGACTTATACGCCCTCGCATGCTGTTTCCTGCAGGACTACGTTTTAACAGTCACACAAAGACAATGTATGGACCTGGATCCATCATGTCTACATCCGACGCTGTACACCATCTGTGTGCCGCCATCAAAACTCAGAGCTAAAGAAATCAGTGTGCAAATAATAAAGTTGGTAAATTACAACAGCATTTGTATCATTGTCCACATTCTAAGACCTCAGGCTACAAACACATACCTTGACCTTACCTTAATATGCCCCCAGCACAACAGACTCAATAACATTATGTTCAGTGGCTACAAAACTGTACCTCAAATCTACAGTGAACTAGAATGACATTCCATGTGTGCATGGTCTAAGGCTGGGTTCACACCTAGGCGTATTACGTATGCACGTCTGTCGCGCGACCGTCACACGGTTTTTTTTACCGCGATTACGAAGGCTACTTGGCTGTATCCCAATGGAAAACGCCCTCCAAAACGGCCCAAAGAAGTACATGTACTTGTTTGGGCGTCAGCCGTTTTGTAGGGGGTTCAGACGGGCGGAAATACGGAAAGGTGTGAACCATACCCATAGAAAACAATGGGATTTTCATGGTTGTACGTTTTGTAGAGCGTTCATAGAGCGTTGAACGCCCGACAAAACGGAAAGGTGTGAACGGGGCCTAATGCCCAGTTTACTACAATATCTACAAAGAAATCAAGTCGCTAAAGGTCAGAAAAAATTATCTTCACCACATTTTACAGTACAACTATTTTAAAACAAAAGATGACAATCCCTAGTTGCCCACTGTAGTAGTTACCTTAAGCTGTATCAAAATGGTGGTGAAATTGCTTGGGCAGTAACATTGCCCAGCTGGAGCAATTCACCTCCTACCTCCTGTCCACAAGGGGACCATGCCAATCCTGAGTCATACCCAATACACATACACCTCATATCACCTTTATTGGCTACCTCCTCAAAGCAGACAGGGTGCCAGAAGTTAAGTCAGTTGACAGTGCTACCAAAGTTCGTACTACCACAGGCAAACCATAAGAATGCTGAACATAAAAAATTGTAAGAACAAGATGAACATGTCATTTTTATACGAACTACAAAGAAACAATAGCTTCGTAGGTTAAGAAAAAAAAACAAACTCACCATAGCTTCCATGTCTGAAATATTTGGTGGAGCAAATATTGTCTGCACCATGAACTTGTGCTTACTCTTTTCATTTGGATCATAGTCAAAAGGCTGTAGCATTACTGTGAACAAAAAGAGAAAGGACATTTTTTTTTGCAAACAATGCATGTTATCTGGGTTATCAGCACAAGTTAAGCATTTTTAAATACAAGGACAGCCTATGCACATGGGAACTCAGGGCCAGGTCCACGATTCGCCACAATAGGCCCATGACCAGGAGTATAAAAAGAGAAGCAGCTTTTCCGCGCATTGTTATCCAATACTAAAGCCAGGTACAAACAGAGCTCTGCATGCCAATATGAAATTATCTTACATTAGCTAAACAAACATTTTTATTTTTACTTACAATTTCTTTTTCCCCCCACTTCCCGGTCCACTTTGGCACAAATTATGTACTCGTACCCAAGCATTGCATTCTGGGATGGTTACATCAGCAGTGCATTGCTGGGAAATCTTATCATGAGGGGTCAGGGAAAGGCATTTTCCTCCCCTGAGATGATGTGCATGTCCTAGTCACATGTGCCAGAGTTCCAAAAAGTAAAAGGGAGATCTAGTAACCTGCACTTAGTTAACATGGTCACTGTCAGAAGACTGGCGAAGAAAATAAAAATTAGGTATGCAAAAAAAAATTCTGCAATTATCTAGAAGTGTGTGTTTGTAGATTGTCATTACTAAAACATTTCTAAAAGGTGCCTTTGTTTTTGTTTTGAAGATAGGGATGAAGTTCCTCTTTAAGTATTCCTATAACACTGACTTTGAAATTACTTACAGGAGTTGCCCTAGCTGGATCTTAAAAAGAGAGGCATTGTTGTTTGGTGAGCCCAATTGGGTTAGTCACAAAGCTGCTTAATTGAAGTGATCTTTCCCTTCTGGCTTGTACGGCAGATTTCAGCCATACATTGGCTGCTCTTCAGTCGGCAGCCAATGTATGCTCTGCTGAGAACATGCTCTGCTGAGAACATGCTCTGCTGAGACGAAGTAGTGCAGAAGGACTTCAACTAAGCCGATCCAACTTCTGGATCGGCTGAGCCGAAGCTCCAGCAGCTAACTCGCTGTCGTACGTCCCTATTCGCATAGGAGACGAACAGCAGTGAGTGAATAGCCGAATGCCTCCGTACCTCCGTGGTACCAAGCAGTATAGAAAATGAAGAGTCAAAAAAAAAAAGTGGAAATTTGTTTTTAACCACCTCCCGTCCTTCGTGCCCGCGCGCCCCCTGGCGTGCACGAGCAGGAAACCACCAGAATTTTAAACAGCCAATGATGGCCGTTTACATACAAGCTGTTCGGCGTCTGTAAAGACACCCAATCACTTGTATGCTGCATGTCGTCAGGGTGCGCCCCCCAACCTCCGTACCTCTCCTGTGGTCCCCGCAATCCCGGGCGTCCATCTGGGACCAGCAGTGTAGCTCCGTGTATGGAGAAAGATCAGTACACGATCTCCCTCCACTCTCCTCCCAGTCTCTGAATGCAGGAAGTGATGTATATTACATCACTCCCACATTCCTCTGGTCACTCCCCGGTACAGAAACCGGAGAGAAGCTGATGAAGCAGATCTGTGCTTCATCAGCTTCTCTGGGGGTACCTAGGTGACATTAGGGATCCTCGAGAGCCCTGATGTCTCCATAAAGGGGACCTGTCACTGTAATTTGATATGACATAGGGGGATTTTTGTCGCCCTATGGGATAACAAAGTTGAGTGTAAGAAAAAAAAAAAGAAGAAAATTGCTCACAAAATAAAATTTACACAAAAAAACCCCACAAAAATTCCCACCCCCACATAGATGCGCAAAAATGCGTTAGGTGCGCCTACACGACAGTTGCACCAATTACGCCGCACGTTACATATCGCCGGGAACGCGACAGTGAGAGCAAAAATGCTAGGGCCATCAATCACTGATAACACTAAACTGATGAGCGGTAAAGGCTTTTAGGGCCCATTCACACCACATTATCTCCAGACCAGATTGTTTCTGTTTCCGGACCCAAAATGCATCCTTATATACCCCTATACTATTTCTGGCCTCTGTTCACACCAGCGCAGTTTGTTCCAGACCAGACAAAAAAAATACTGCTCCTCTCATTTTATCTGGAATGCACTGGAACTGTGGGCAGGTTCACACCATTTTCCAGACCAGATCTGGTCTGAAAAACGGTGTGAACCTACCCCCAAAGCGTCACCTATGGCCAATTTTGGCTATGGTAGTTTTTTGCAATTTTAAGGCTTCACATGTTTGGTGCCTATTTACCCGATGACCCCGTCTTTTATATTTTACCCCAAAATTGGGTACTAATAATTGTTTACCAAACATAATAAAAAGGGAAAACTTTTTTTTTTTATATATTTCGGTACTTTTTTCGTTTTTTAGTAATAAAAAAAAAAAAAGCGCAGTGGTGATTAAATGCCTGTGTTATATTGTGTGCAGAAATACAAAACAGTTGTATAATTTGTAAATTTCGCAGGAAAAAGCTAAAAGCATGAAAACAAAAACACTGGAAAACATTTAGGCTTACTGCACACAGGCAACCGTGCTACTAAAAATCGCTAGCAATCAGTTGAGTATAAATATCTTTTGTTCCGGCCCCCAAGAAAAAATAGGTTATATATAATGTTGGGGGGTTTTACGTCATTTTCAGGCCTAAAATGTGGAATATAACATGGGTGCAAAAATTGAAAAAAGGGCCTCAGTCATGAAGGGTTTAAAGTCAACATTTCTTTTGCCCCATTGTAACTGTGCTTTAAAGACTTGCCTTAAAAGAGAACTATTGGGCAAGTGTTTCTTTCACCCCCATATAGTTGTCTTTATGGTCACGTGAGGACATATACTAACCTCCTCCTGTGACCCAAAGATCAGTATATCGCAAGCTATTGCCCGCAATATACTGAGAGCGCCGCAGCCGGGATGGATCCTGACAATACTGTCGAGATCCACCCAGCTGGCCGATAGGCGGAGCCCACTATCAATCTAGAGGCGGAGCCAGCTGTGCACGCCCTCTCCCCAGTTCGTTCCTCCACTCGGCGCTGGAGGACTGGAGGGAGAGGGGGATCCCTGCGGGTAGCAGTGTCACAGCTTACTGCAGCGAGACGGTTGAGAAGCGGGTGGATCGGTGCATGTTTCTGCTCACTTCCCGATCTATAGAGCCGACAGCTTCTTTGTCACAGGTCGGCTCTAACTATGAGGATGAGTGGAAATCACTCACTTCATAGTTCTCCTTTTAGTGATGCCTCTTGATCCGATCATCTTCTTCTGTACACTTGTTTCTAGCAGTCACTCCAGCGCTGGTGCTGGTCTCTGATCCAGTGCTGACTGCTGTGTCTTCTGTGTCCCACAGTGTCTGTCCAACATGCACGCTCACGGCTGTGCGCTTTGACTTTCACTGTGTCTCTCCTCTTCTCACTTCTCATTATTTTCAAAATCGGTTAGCTGATTATTAAGTTCGATTAAAAAAAAAGAAAAATTTTAAAAAATGGCTCCAGTGATGGACTACTAGTGTGTATTGAGATTGTAGTCCATCACAGGAGCAAGCTTGGAGCGGTGGAAGTAAAAAAAGAAAAAAAAAAAAAGTGTGGTGTGCAATATAGTGAAATAAAAAGTGTAAAATTATACAGCAATGTATGCAGAATGGCAGCGCCTATAGAGGACTACAAAAACCAGCAACAGTACATTATACAGCACAATGCAGAATACCACCAGCTATAGAGGACTACAACAAATCCCAGCAATAATACATTATAGCTGGCGGTATTCTGCATTGCTCTGTATAATGTACTATTGCTGGGTTTTCTAGTCCTCTATAGCTGGTGGTATTCCGCATTGCGCTGTATAATGTATTGCTGGGTGTTGTAGTCCTCTATAGCGAGTGGTATTCGGCATTGCGCTGTATAATCTATTATTCCTTGATTTGTAGTCCTCTATACAGCGTAACGCAGAATACCACCAGCTATATAGGAATACAACAAATCCCAGCAATACATTATACATAGTGTATAATATATTGCTGGGATTTGTAGTCCTCTATAGCTGATGGTATAATATACAGCACAATGTACCATCAGCTATAGAGGAATACAAATCCCAGCAATACATTATAGAGCACCATGTGGGGGAAAGTGCAAGCTTACCTGTGCAGTCTTCGAGCAACTTGCTTCTGAAATCGGGCCTGTCTATCGGCAGCTGTCATCCGATCGTGGATTTGGGTGGGCGGTGAGCGTGAGGCGGGGAGGAGGTGCGGCGTGTGGAGTGTGAATGCGGGCAGGTGGATCTGGCAGTGACGAGCGTGAGGTGGGGAGGAGGTGTGGCGCGGAGCGTGTGTGGAGCCGTGAACAGGGACAACCAATCAGAAGCCAATTAATCGATGATTGAAAAAGTTAACAACTTTTTTAATAATCGATTAGTTGTTGCAGCCCTAACTGCTTGCTAAAGATATATGCAAAAAAGAAAAGTTTAATTATACTCTAACCTGTGCACTGCGAGAAGTATCCGCACTGCAAGGGTTAGTTTTAGAAAAACCTGTGCATCAACAAAATCACAGGTTCATTTGAAATTCTTTAGGTCTTTATTTTATTCACGACTTGTACACATGAATTGCTTAGTGCTTGCCTAAAGTTTAGTATACACGAGTAGAATTTCAAACAAATGAAATTTTTCGGAACGTTTGTGCGACTTTGTAATCATTGATGTGGTCAAATCGATGATCAATTTCAACCACGGTGACCAAAAATTTGATGGAGCAGGTTGCAAAGTATTTTGTCAATCTAACGAAATTCTAACAGTGAATGTGGTTTTCGTTCATTCATTCCAAAATCAGATGTCAACAAAAACGAAAATCAAAATGATATTTTGAATGACAAAATCGACAAGCCTCTGATGGTATTATCGAACATTCCGGCTGGATTTTACACACTAAAGGTTGTTAAAAATGCTCCCCGTGTATACCCCACTTCATTTCCTAACAGACATGACAAAGATCCGTTACTTTACAGATGGAGGATCTTAAAGCACAAAGTGCTGAAACCACAAACCACCCAAACTGAAAATGTATTTGTAACTCAATTTCTGGACAGTCAGGCAATGAGGATATTTGCAGAAAGAACAAGGCTTTCAACATTGAGATACTGCAATTTGCCTCCATAAAAATTAGATTTCAGGGTGTATTGTTTGAAATGTAACAAACAAATGCCTTAACTGGCACCATTGCAAGAGCCTGAAAAAAGGGAAAAGAGGTGCAAACTATTGCACAGGATTTTCAAGAGCCAGAATAATTCAACAGGTAATTCAAAACAGAAGTTGGTCTTTATAATGGAACTCTGGACAGATATACTTTATATTTAATCATATGTTTATCTATATAATGATTTACCTGCAAACGTATCTCCAATCTTGGCCAGCCAATATTGAAAGTACCTTGCTAGGTCAGGAACACCACCCTGCTACTTTCTGGTTGAACATTACTGCTCCCTGGATCAGCTCTCTCTGCTCACTGGACAAAAGGTGATAATAATGCTCATTCACAGTCTAGAGGCAGAGACATGACACAGGAAGCTTCTAAACAAAGATGCATTGCTTAATACGGACTACACGTGTCGCCTGTTTAACTATGCAGAGTGACAAATGTGTGTATATCACAAGACTGGTTGCACTGCCATTCCCGACTATTCCTTTTAAGAGGTGCTAGTTGTCTGGCTATCATGCTGATCTAATGGTTTCAATATTTTGAATTACGGACCCAAAATTATTTTGCAAATAAAGAATTTCAAGACTGTATACTTATGCTGGGTCCATGACTCAGCAGGTATTAAAGTCAGACGGTCACAGTAACTGCCAGCCAACTAGCATTTTCAGAAGCAATGCAGACCTTCATATTTCTCTGAAGACTGGCAGAAATGTGTATGGATTAGCCGATTCCCAAAAAAATAATAAATATAGATATCTATATCTATATCTCAGTAAACCAGTTTAAAGTACTCCAGCTTGTAGAAAAATTAACCCTTGCACTGCTAGGGGTGAAAATAAAGCGGATATACTCAACCGATCCTCATTCCTGCAGCAGTGACCAATAAGCTCTCCCCCTTCGCTCCAGTCGTGTAACGTCCCTCGGCGTCTTCAGTCCAATTCACTTGACACGTGATGATGTCACAGGTCCTTAGACTGGCAGAGCACAGGGATGAAGAGGCTGCAGGGATCGGTCTGGCAGGCAGGTGGGCGAGTACTTATCTTTAGAAAAACAACGAGCAGTTAACCCTTACAGTGCAAGGGTAGCCCCACTGCAAGAGTTAATTTTTCTACAAGCTGAAGTTCTTCTTCGAGAACCTCCATATCTTTTTTAAGATATGGAAATGTGTTCTAACATTTTAAAACCTCCTTAATATAGCATTCTGCTCGGCAATTTCATGATGTGCAACCTTTGGCCCATGAACCTTTCCGAAACAAATAGTACTGTGCCACCCAGACCCAGTTACTGCTGTTTGAAACACACTGCTTGTTTGGAATGGTCTTCAACATACTCACCACTATGAAAAATGTATTTTTTACAGCCAAACTTTTATAACCAGACATATACTATATATAAAAACTTACAAATTGATTAAATCATTTTTCATGCAACTAATGCAAGTACCAGGGCAACTGAACATTATTATCAAGGTGGGTGAATATTTTTGCGAGGATATAAATAATACTTTTTGACATTGGATCCATAAAAGTCAAGTTGTTGTGCAATATCTGCTATTATTACCTGAAACTGTTACTGTGGCTCCAGCATCTATAAGACCACTGTTTGGCCTCACACAGTAGCGCCTTGGAGCTGTAGTTTTCACCTTGAAGCATACTTTCTTATCAGACGGATTACGATAAAAAGACATAAAAACAGCCTCAGGGGCGTTAATACAAAGAAAAATAAAGCTGCAAGATAAAGGAAAAAAGTATTTACAGTTCTATTAGTGTTCTGTTAGGCCTTGTTCACACCAAGCGCGTTCCAGGAGCAGAGCAGTTACAGACCGGATCAAAACTGCGTCCAATGTATTACAATGTTATTTTGGGCTCTAGTTCACACCGCAGCGTTCAGTTCCACAGCATGTAAAAAAACTGCAGCAAGCCCTATTTTACCTGCTCTGGAACACATGCAAATGCATCAAAAATGCATGCAAATGCCCTGGAACGCGCTGAAAGCCCATTTTAAAACTATAAAAAAAAATGTAACATTTGTTTTTTTTAAACCAAAAACAGCCCGGAACGCATCAAAAACACAGGACAACCCACTGCACTGCGTGTGCAGAAACTCATGCAGATCTGGTCTGCATTTGGTGTGAACAAGCCCTTAATCACCTGAACAGCTGAACTGAAGATGTAGGGCTGGTCAATAAGGTTCTGCTGCAGTGCACAACTTTTGATTCAGGGTAAAAAGGTGGGCATACACTGTACAACCCCCACAACACTCTAGTCTTGCGAAGGTTGTAAAGTAATTTTTTTTAAAAACTTACGATCTGCCCATCTTGGACAGGCCGATCGTATTTGCGATCATCGCAAGCACGCCCCGCTGAGCGGCGGGCTTCCTTCCGATGACTGCAATGCTGAACGGTGTGGCCCATTCGGCAGTTGTCGAACAAGCACGCCAGACTGCTTGTTCGACGTAAGACGTGCGATCGTACAGTAGAAACGGTTGCACGCCTTCCATACACTTTGCGATTATCGTACGATCGCGGGATTTCCCACGATTCTCGTACGATAATCGTACAGTGTATGGGCACCTTAAGGCTAATTTTAAAGCTCTGTTTTTAAGAATATCCGATTACATTATGCACAGTCACAGGCACGTGTACTCTTTTAGAAGCTATTTTTTATTTCCTCAAGCTGTTTACAGAGTGTTTTGTAATGTAAAATGTGCTTCTGTAGGTAGAGGCTGTGCAGTGTGGGAAGTAGAAGGATATGCCAGAACCCCCACTTGAACCCACTAAAAGCCTTATTTTAGATATCTTTAACATAGTTTATGTTTAAATTAAAAAGAAAAAAGCAGTCTGATCGCTCTCTCTCTGAGGTAACGGGCAAGAGACACACGCGCTGGAGAAGCTTGGATGAACGGAGCACATAATGAAGTGTGTATTTCTCAGTACTAGTGTACCTATAAATAAAATTCACATAAATCAACAGCACGAATCAGCATTACATAGTCACCAGAAGTATCCCTTGCCTGGCACGAATTTAACAAAATGCAGCTACCAAGTTCCCTCATGCGACCTAAAGCCAGGGCAGGATAGATTACATGGTCTCTAGCTACAAGTAGCATTGTAGTCATTTCATTTAGCATGGGGAAAGAACTTAGACTAAATGTAATGTAAGCCTAGATATGTTGGATGCCTTGTATGAGAGCAATAGATCCCCATCACTTAAAAGGACTTGGATCCCACACTTCTAGTAAGGGATTGCAAGGAAGCATTTTACAGTAAGCTATCTTTAGCTGCAGGCCAACCTTCTCAGTTTGCAGTAATGCTATGACTAGAGCTAAGATGTGCTACAACCAAACACTTCAATAGACTTTTGCCTCTTTGCCGGTGAATTCCAAACATACTAAAACTAGTTATGCACGATAAAGTAGAACTAAAGTCAAAAACTGGTCTGAGCACTGATACAGCAGCCTCCAAACCACTGACCAGCAATTCATACCAAAAATAGCAGATATGGTAAATTGCTCTTTAGTTTAGATCCCCAGCTCAGGGAGCAGCACACGAGCAAAACATATAAAATCTACACTAAATCAATTAAGGACCTTGGGCACCAACCGCAATACATATTGGGTATTGATGCACAGACCGAAGTAAGAGAACTAACTCTAGGTCCCTCCTTTACTATTAACTCTAAACTGAAGTACCCATACTTGTGAACATGGCCGATACTAAACGCCGATACTGGCACTTTACATTTTTAAACGGAAACGGCTGTCTGAGGTCAAGCATTTGCTGGGGACCTCGGCAGCCTTCCTGTGAACCACACAGTGCCTGTTTACAGTGCCGGCCCGTACATCTCCCCCTCCTTCCTGGGGCCTGCAAGACACTCCGGACCAATGCCGAGACTCTCGAGACATCAGGACGGCACACCAGAGCAGCACTGAGTATGTAGCTTAATAATTATGCATTGCTGTGTAATGTATTGCTGGGATTTTTTTGTACTCTGGAGCTGGTGTCATTCTGCATTGCTGGAATTTGTAGTCCTCTATAACTGATGGTAGTATTCTGAATTGCTGTATAATTTGTTGGAATTTGTTGTTGGTATTCTACATTGCTGTATAATGTATTGCCGAGATTGGTAGTCCTCTATAGCTGGTGGTATTCTGCATTATGATGTAATGTCATTCTGCATTGCTGTATAAAGCATTGCTGGAATTTCTAGTCCTCTATAACTGATTGTAGTATTCTGCATTGCTGTATAATTTGTTGGAATTTGTTGTTGGTAGTCTACATTGCTGTATAATGTATTGCTGAGATTCGTAGTCCTCTATAGTTGGTGGTATTCTGCATTGTTATGTAATGTATTACTGAGATTTGCAGTCCCTCTACAGCTTGGAGTCAGTGGCAGTACTACCAGGGTCGCATTTGGGAAAAAATGGTATCGGTGCGTCCCTATCAGAAAGTGCATGAGGAAAACCAATACTTGATGTTGGCCTTTATTTTTATACACGACTGATCCTTGATAGTCCCCATCTCAACAGAAGTAACCAAAGCTGTACCCTGGCTGCTTTGTTTGGTTAGCACACTGCATACTGGTTCATTTTAAAAAGGTACCATGCCTAAGGCTAGTGGTCAACATGCAAACTACTTTATTATACTTTTACAAAATATGCAATGGTAGATTCGGGAGCTCATTTATTCACCTGCAATATATCAGTGCTGTACCCTGAGGACAGAACCTGTGAGTCAAACATACTAAAGACTGTCACAGTTCAAGAATTTGTTTTGCCCAGTTATGTGAACTGCAGATATAGTCATGTCCAGTAAAAATTATATTTAACAAAAGAAATAATAAAAAAAAACATCTGTTTAATGCAATGATCAGCAGAAGTTCAAAGTTGACAAGATAAACAGATGAGGCAACGCGCCTCTTAAGCCTCTCTGTTTACTGTGCAGTGAGCACAAGTTAGCTAACCAATATTATATTTACCTGTGTGCTGACCTAGTGAGTTTTGTCTGTAAATATAGAACGTATACAACTTGAACGAAGATGTGTATTGTACAGATACTCAAAGCAAAATGCCATGAAAACACATAATGCAGGACCTGACAAATCCCAAGAGCCAGGTAGCCAATGTTCCTTAAAATGTACAGCCTGTTAGTTTTCTCTAGTTGTGGTCAATGGAGCTGGCTCCTAAAAATCATTTCTATTGGCGCCTGGATTGGACAATTCCATATTAATCTTCCGCCCCTGTCATAAAGGCCCATTCACCCTTGTGAGCGGTGGCAACACACTAAAACGCATGCACCAGTGTGTGTTGCCACAATGGATGACAACGCATCTCTATGTGCATTGCAGTGCCATTCACTGCAAGAGCACAAAATGCACAACGCATTTACCGTGAGTTTTGGAGTGCCGAATTGTGAAAAAAGGGTCAAGCATGTTTTTACATCCAAACTTGTGCTTAATCATAAAGCATGCTCTATGATTGAGCACATGCTTGTGTGAAACACGCTAGACATATTGTCTGAGACACATGCTGTATGTCGATTGATGAATTAAAGATTACACACGCATCCTCAATTGACATAGGAGTGCCGCGTTTCCTTGTAGTTACAGTGTATTCCATGGCTGGCTGAGAGCTGGTGTGTGCACCCTTTCAGTGGCTCCAAGTGGACCGATCTGGAGTAGAGCCTAGCACATGTGCTTTGCATATTATCATACGACTGTGCATCCTGTGGTGAGTTGCCAGCCCTTCCATAATGAATGGGCTGCCTTAAAGCAACTCGCATTAATCCACCGCAATGGATTGCATAAAGTGTAGTTCATCTTTATGCCTTCCGTTGCGGTTTGATATGTATCAATATGTATGTTATGTATCAATATGTATGTTATGTGTTCCTATTAACACAAGGTACATAAAAATGTTTTTCTTTTTACCTTATAGATGTTTCTTTGACGCAGGCCTTTGGGCATACTGCAAGATATTTTGAACAATATGAAATGGAATCTGTCCCCATAGAATGACTAGGGACCAATTGGGCTTCCTCTCATTAACAAAAAAAAGGTGTTAATGAGAGGAAAGCCTTTAAAAAAGGAGGAGAACTATGAGGTGAGTGATTTCCACTCACCTCATAGTTCTAGCCGACCTGTGACAATGAGACTGGCAGCTCATAAAACCATTGTGGGCAATGGAAGAATGCGCGTATAAATGCGCAAAAATGAGACACCGCAGCCCGCCGCGCGAGGCCCACACCTCCACGCTGCCGCAGACTGACCCTGCTCTCCATACCATCAGGTAAGAACCCCCTACTGCCAAGGTAGCCGGGACCCCTGGACTCCTCCAGCCTCCCTGTACCTCTCCTATGCTACCCCCGTCGTTGCCAGACCAATGTCCACAACCTGGGCTCAGCATTCCTACAGCACACCTTGCCACTGCTGTACACCAGGGGGGGCCACCATCTGGCGCCAACTCACGTGCAGGAGGATGGTTGCCTTCCCTGAGTGATGGAAGGGAACCTTGGCCCAGAATCGGATGGGGGTCCGATAGGGAAGCCCTGCATGCGCTGCAGCAGGTAATCCTGGAGTAGGTCCCAATGCCTAGCAGGGTAAGGCTCAGCCCAAAGGCAAACAAACATGAGCCCTGAAAACAACAAACATTACGATGTCCCTGTGTAGCCGGCGGAAACACAAAAAAACTGACTTGGGATGGAAGGAGGAGTCTATTTATTTAATGTGGTTGATGTGTTTCCTGTTGCAGGCAGGCGGAGCCTATATCTCGATGGCTGTCCTGGAAGATGCTTCTATTGCGGGTTTTTGGCCATTTCCAATGAAGTCTATATAAGGCAATAAAACGCTTTCATCTGCCCAAAGAAGCTCCTGTACCTTTTCGGGCACTTGGCGTTTTTCTGCTCAGGTGTGAACCAAGGCTATTGACAATCATGGAATTTGTTGTGCTGGGCACTTAAAAATACTTTCTGAATGAACTAGGAGTTCAATCACTTTATAAAGTTTAGAGAAGAAGAAAACATAGAAATATAGTAGCATGATGTCATGGTGGAGCAAATACTTATAGCATGCTTGAAATGATTTTCTATCAAGTGATTCTTAGCAGCCTGACCCTGGCTTGAGCCCATTATGCGCTCACTCACACCCTGTGTATTCCTCGAGTTCAACCTTCCATATCAGATGAAGAATTAAACAATCTTCACACCTTTTATACACACTACTCTGTGTCAAATGATCCAGTCTACAACACTAGCCTTATTCTTTCTTCTATTTGATCAGTTCCATCCATTTTCAGCAATCAACAATTTAGGCTTCTACTGCTGCATTTTTAGATTACATGTAATAAATAAGATGAAAATTAAGTTCACTGAACAAAGAAAAGCATGAAACCATATTAAAACATTCCTCACAAATTACTAATGACATTTGTTTCACAAACCATGTATCCCAAAACAGCTCTGAGTTAATGGAGCTTGTACCATTTGTTTTATCCATCCCCCATCACATTGGAGAAGGAAGTCAGCAAGCTATTCCTTTTTACACACAATGGAATGTTAAAATATAGGAAATATCCTGCAGTCATCGTCCAAACAGATCAATGTCATAGCCACAAGCATGAAAAACATTTTATACAAAACACTGCCAACAGGAACACAACAGTGTTACTACTGGTCAAAGCGATGAAGCCATAGCAAAGAGCAGAGGCAGATCAGAGCCCAAATTGGGGAACGGAAATCACAATAAACGCGCGCACACACACGTTTAAATGCCAGCTATTTAAGGTAATCTCCATTTAGAAGTTGATATTTCGCCCAACACCAACAGGGGGCCACTTTAGTTTGATTTCCAGCTTTGGCAGTTTTTGCTCTTTATTCTTGGACATTTATAGAGATTACATTTGATAGCTGGAATCATGTTCCAGCTATTCGGTTATCTATGATTCGATAGATATTCACGATACAATACTGAAGCCATGGCTGGTATGGAAGCTGTTTTTACGATGTTTTAAATGTATGATTAAGGAAAGAGTGAAATATTACATCTTAATGTTCTACTCCTGTGTTAAAGGAGAACTATGAGGTGAATGCTTTTCACTTACCTCATAGTTCTAGCCGACCTGTGACAATGAGACTGTCACAGGTCAACTCAGTAGATCGGGAGGTGAGTGAACACATACCAGCGTTCGCTCACTTCTCGATCCTGTCACATCGCTCTGCCGTGACAGGGGAGTGGCTGGATTGCCCCCTCCCCTATCCGCCAGCGCTGACTGACGGATCGGACGGGGGAGGGTACAGGTGGCTCTGTCTCTAGATAGGCAGAGCCAGCTGTCACTCACGCAGCTGGGCGGATCCAGACATAATTGTCGGGATCCGCTTCAGCGTCTCAGTATACCGCGAGCTGCAGCTCCCTTTATACTGAGCCTAGGGTGACGAGAGGACGCTAGTTTGTGTCCTCTCGTTACCCTAAGGAGAACTATGGGGAAAAGCCTTAACCCCATAGTTCTCCTTTAAAACAAGAATTTAACAATTGTGTGTATGGGGGGTGTACTGCAGAGGTATTCATTTTTCTTTTTTTACTATCCAAACTTTTTAATGTGCCCCTTTACATTGGCAATCAGTGCAAGGAATGCTGCTTGTATTGAAGGAACCCATCCCTGCAGTTGGTTTTGCCATAGCTCTATGCCGGCACTATCGTGTGGAATGTCATTCCACCTCTGCTTAAGTAGCCCTTGGCAATCAATGGAGGAAAGACAGGGCTCTATGGAACCCTGGTTGAAAATGGCTGCCATAGACCTGATGGGGATGATGTTTACAAATTCAGACAGGCAGTAGCATTCACGGTGTACAGACACAGGCAGTAGCATTCACGGTGTACAGACACAGGCAGTAGCATTCACGGTGTACCGACACAGGCAGTAGCATTCACGGTGTACCGACACAGGCAGTAGCATTCACGGTGTACCTGCACAGCACCACCTACTTCCTTTAACTGACAGCACAAACATGTCTACCTCACTGGATAAAACCAAAATGGATTGTTTAGGTAGGATCTTTGAACGACGGTTGTTGGTACATCTAAAAAGGAAAGTGTGTAACATGTTACATGCACAGCCAGCTTAAGAACCTAATTTTAAAAATATTATACAACTGGTGATTAAATCAACTAAATAAATTGATATAAAAAAATGAACATCCCTATATGATAAGGCGTACCGGATAGAAGGGCGCAGGGGCGGAACGGATAGAAGGGCGAAGGGGCGGAACAGATAGAAGGGCGAAGGGGCGGAACAGATAGAAGGGCGAAGGGGCGGAACAGATAGAAGGGCGAAGGGGCGGAACAGATAGAAGGGCGAAGGGGCGGAACAGATAGAAGGGCGAAGGGGCGGAACAGATAGAAGGGCGAAGGGGCGGAACAGATAGAAGGGCGAAGGGGCGGAACAGATAGAAGGGCGAAGGGGCGGAACAGATAGAAGGGCGAAGGGGCGGAACAGATAGAAGGGCGAAGGGGCGGAACAGATAGAAGGGCGAAGGGGCGGAACAGATAGAAGGGCGAAGGGGCGGAACAGATAGAAGGGCGAAGGGGCGGAACAGATAGAAGGGCGAAGGGGCGGAACAGATAGAAGGGCGAAGGGGCGGAACAGATAGAAGGGCGAAGGGGCGGAACAGATAGAAGGGCGAAGCGGCGGAACGGATAGAAGGGCGCAGGGGCG